TCACACACTATCAGGAAGGCTGCAGAGGCAGACACACACTGTCAAGAAGACTGCAGAGGCAGACACACACTATCAGGAAGGCTGCAGAGGCAGACACACTATCAAGAAGACTTTGACCTACTTGCTGTCCTGGTCCATTGACAGTCCAGACCCCTGCTCAACTAGTTTGGTCAGGTTCACTATTTCCTCTTTCAGGGCAAGAATCGTCTCCTTGGCCTTTTGCTCTTTATCATATGCAGAGTCCACCATCTTCCAGGCCTTTTCAATTTCCTAGTGGACCAGAGAGTATCCATGAGAAAAAACAAAAGGGGTTCGGTACAAGATAAAGCAGCACAAACAATGGCCCCATGGCCCCAGTGTGATAGTCACTTACAGGAAAAGAATAGTATGTATTATACCGTATGTGGGAATTTGGACTGACTAAATTGTTCAGTGGAAGAGCAAGCCAGTTCAAGGAGTGTTTTCCTTGTGTAGAGGAGTGAGTATGGCTGCAAGGTTCCACAGCTGCCCTAGCTAGAAGAATAATTTCTAATAAAGAAACTGATAAATTTTTAAAATTTTAAATGAAATTTTATATGCTTAACAGATGCTTTAAATGGCTCTATTCCATAAGAGATGATCATAGATGCAATCCTTAAACCAGTAGATTGAAAGTAATTCTTGATAATTTTGAAAATAAAAAAATATATATTTTTATCAAGCAGGGGAATCAATGAGTTTGAGGCCAACCTGGGCTACATAGCAAGTTCAAGGCCATCCTGAAAACATTTATATACATACACACACACACACACACACACACACACACACACACACATATATATATGTGTATATATATATATATATATACATGCATGCACATATGCACACACACTTAAATAACGAACATACATATGTATAAAATGTGTGTGTGTGTGTGTGTGTGTGTGTGTGTGTGTGAGTGTGTGTGTGTGTGTGTGAGACACTCAGATCCCAGGTGAGTGCCTAAATGGCAAGGTCTGTCTTAGAAAATCCCACAAGGTCACTTTGCTTTGCTGGCACTGGAGTGTACGAAGGAATCTTAGCAGTTCCCATATCCAGAGGCCCAAGCCCAGATCCTCATCAAATGCACACTGGGCGAGCACTCTACTTCAGTCCTTGGCTTTTTCTGAGAGAGAGAGAATCTCACTGTGTGTCTCAGGCTGGCCTGTTTTCTGAGAAACACATGCTGGTGCTCATGGGGGAGAATAAAGCCCATAGCAGGGGATGGAACTGTTCCTGACTTTCTTACTGTTGTGAAATGCAGTGTGCGATATTTGCATACACACTGAAAGGTGAATTACCGCTGTGTGAATAAAGGAACCACTTGAGCATTTGTCCGCAATAACCTTGAGTTTGTCCTGCCACTTCACTATCTTGAAACATTTTAGTCAAGTAAAATTTGTGTCCTTTATATAAATAAAAGCCTATAAAGTTTAGGTGAAAGTATTTAGTTTTCATGTTGACAAGGAATAAAATGGATGGAAGGGAATAAATCCAAGCTTGCTATTATAGCACACAGAGAGTCCTCTTGTGTAACCACCGCACATCCCTTAGTGACTCAAAGCAAAATGTCAATTTGGGGGCTCTATCCCAGTGGAGCAACCATATGCATACCTGGGCCAAACAAGTGAAGGATATCTAAATGAGAATATGATTGCATAATGTTTTAACCAAACCAATTTCACCAATTAGATTTTCATCAATTTGTAACGTTCATCTCCAGTGTTAAAGTTTATAATGAAAGTGTTTTTCCAATTATAAAATGAATTACAGTTTCCTTATATTACTTTTCCATCAAGAAGAAAATGACAGCAGAGAGAAATCACACTAAAGGAGAGTAGTTTCTAAGAAAATGGGTCAGTCATATCTTGTACTGGTCTTGGAAGTTAATTTAAATCCGATGACATCTGATTGTATGCTATCAAGGGAATTACCTAAAGCATTCATAAATTATTTCTCAAAGCTAGAGATTTAACTATGAATTAATATGTCTCAACCTCTTATGACTTTGAGATCAACAGGGAACATTTGTGTTTTATCTTCAAGATAAGGCAACACACTTAAAGGTGAAAAACACAGTGTGGACCAAAGGCAAACTTCCTCCAGATTTCCCAGACCAAGCCTCTAGCTCTCCTACAAAAGCATTTGGGGAGATGAAAAGACAAGGAGAAGGACACTGGGAAGGATGGTCATGAAAATTACTCCCTGGGAACTCACAGAATAATCTCTCCTGGAGCACGAGGAAAAGTAGAAATGTAAAAATATTTTTAACCAGGTATCATGGCTGGGGTTCTAGTTCAGTGGGTAAAGTGCTTGCCCCGAAAGCACGATGGCCTAGGTGGCATCCCCAGATTCCACTGGTGGCACAAACTTCAGGCCCAGTGCGAGGGAGGCAGAGGCAGTGGACCCACTGGGGCTAAACCAGGCGACCAGTCTAGTCTACTCTGGAAGCACCAGGCTGATGAGAAGCTCTGTCATTAAAAACAAGGTGGACAGCATCTGAGAAACAACTGTAAACCTCTGACCTCCACATGAGCACACCATGCGCGCGCGCGCGCGCGCGCGCGCACACACACACACACACACACACTCAGATTATATTCATCTTGCATCAACAGAACATCCCAAGAGACCCAATATTGCATTTTATCTCTAAGTCTTTTGGCTAACCCATTATTTTCCAGAAACTAGTCGGTAAAATAAAGCTCTCCGTTTGTTTTCAGCATGGTAAGCCTCACCAGGGTTTCTTTCTCAGTGAATATTCTTCCCTAGGCTTAATAAATATCTACATTGTGTAAATTTTTACCTAATAACTCATGTCTTACCAACCAGAGAGCTGTCTATAATGAACAGGTGATGCTTGAAAGTCAAATTCATCTACTTCTAGATCACTAACCTTCTTGAGAGACGCGATGGTGGTCTGGTCATCCTGAGAAAGCTTCAGGGCAGTGGCCACCTTGGCAGAGTTCACCACAATCTCTGCATTCAGCTCTCTGCATTTGGCCATTAGACGCTTTTCATTGTCATAAGACTTTTTCATGACAGTATGAAGCTTCTCATATTCAATCCTGAATTTTTCCAGACTTTTGTCTCCTGAAAGTTCACTGAGAACCTCCTGGAAATCTCTTTCAATTTCCTCAAATGCAGTTTCCTCCATCACGAGTTTTTCACTCTTTTCCTGCAGGCAAGAACAAGGACATTATTCCATTCTATCAAGAAATGGCTGCTGGTACCCCGAAATGAAAGCCCCTCACTCACTCAAATCTAATGCTACCAGCCAGCAGAAACATTGAGACTATATGTTAGGAAGGTTCCCTCTTCATCCTCTGATGTATTTATATAGTACATATGAATACATATATGGCATTATAATTAGTTGATGAGGTCATATCCAAGTAAGGTAAGCCTTAACTCCAATAAGATAGGCACCCTTAGCAAAGACAGAGACAAAGAGAATGTAAAGATGGCTTGGATTGATGCAGTTGCAATCCAAGGAAGTCTAAACATTGTCAGCTACTACCAGAGATGAGGAAGAGACAAGGAACCATTTCACTCAGGGTCTCAAAGGGAGCATGACTCACCAACATCTTGACTTTAGACTTCCAGCATTGAGAACTGGGAGACAAACGATTTCTACTGTTTTAAGCCACCCAGTTTGTGGTACCTCATTATGGCTGCTCTCTCAAATGAACACCTACTTATTAAGTACAGCATGGCAGCACTAATAATGATAAAGGTATGCATTCATTCATTCAACAAATGTTTATTCACCACCCTCTATCAGAGAGTTGTGTGGTGAAGCCTGTAAAGGCAACCAAGGTAGGGAATAAAAGGTCCACCCACAGGGTATTTGTTTTACTGACTGGTCGAGTATGTTCTGTTGTAACAGAAATATTCAGTTCCTGCCATAAAATGCATTCTATGTTCTTTAAGAACACATAAAAAGAGACTTACTCCCAGCAGTGAGAATAAAGCACATTTCATGAAAGAAGTGGTACTCAAGCCACTAGAAGGAAGAAAAGGATTCTTACAGGTAGCTCTGGAGAAAAGATCACTCCCAGCAGATGGCATTGCCTGAGGCAGAGCTCACAGCCACACAAGTGCCCAAGATGCCCACATATAAGAGGTATGCCAAGGAGAGGCGGAGACGGGCTGGGAGCATGGAATGACATGCTAAGGAATATGGATTCATGTTCTGTCAGCTGCAAAGACCCACCCAAACCTTCTAAGGGTAGATACAGTTTGCAAGCTTTATTTATGCTTTCCACACTTTGCTTTGACAGTCTACACAAAACAGGGCTTAACATCCACCACTCACTGCTCACCAAAGGAACCAAATGAGATGATCTTTCATCTCAATAATAATAACATTCTAATCCACCCTGAAGATTCCAAGCAGCCTTCTTTACCTCTTCTCTCAATGAGCATAGCTTGCGCAGTGTGAGGAAGGTTTATAGTCTTAGTTAAAAAAAAAAAAAAAAAAGAATGAAAGAAAAAACTTCTACTGTTAATTAAATCCCCACACATGACGTGCAAGCAAAACACAGTGTTTAGAGATTTAAATGTGGTTCCTGTAACACTTGGCTTAACAGCTTTAGGACTATTTTAAATCCAACAGAGGTTTCCTTGCTAAAAGTAGATTATTGCGCAGAACACGATTCAGCAAATGCTCAAAGAAGGAAAAACCCTATTAAGCAAATGTGGTGCTACTGCTGCTCTGTCTCATTGATGCAAAACCTGAGTCACAGACACCGGTTCATCCCACGGTGTTCTGCGCTCCAGCCTTGAAAGCGGTATTAATGTCAACATTTGATCAGCAGCCTAACGATTTGTTTGCACCCAGGTTCTCCCTGTATGCCTGCAATTAGTACAGGGGTGGAGAAATATCAAAGAAACATTTTAAAGAAACTTGTATGAACAAAAGAAATGTATTTTCAAGTTGTCATTTCAAAAAGTATTCTTCTATTAAAGGCAAAGCAAAAAAATCTCTTAGCTCTGACCAGTGGGCAGTTGGTACCTTCTTCTACACTGTGGCCAAGCGCGGTGGTGTGTACTTAAGAAGGATATCAGCATGAAGTGATGGATCAGAGGAAGTGTGACATTCCATCATTTGCTCACAGGCTGTCTGCCGTGTGTCAGGCAGTGCCCTGGGGGCTGAGGCGCATCTGCTTGTAAGGAGGAGAGCTTATTCTTGGAGGATAAAGAACAATGAAGTAAGACGGGACACTGAGTGGAGGAGAAACACTCAAGGGTATAAATGAGAGCTAGCAGGACCAAGAGGAGAAGCTGGGAAGCGAGGAGACATGAAAGAGACTAGGTAGTGGAGAGCAGTGATGTGGCCATAGCCTCAAGGCCGTCATGAGAGTGATGGCCCCTGGGAGTGGGACCAAGTGGGGATACGGAGCCATAAAGAGACATTAACCACAGGAGTGGAACTCACGAAGGAAGACCAGGCATGGAGGGGATGGAAGGAAAAGGAGGTGCAGAAACAGAGAAGATAGAAGAAATAGGGTAGAGCGTGGAGGTGCTAGGAGATGCTGGGACCAGGGCTGGCTTCACGGGTGTGGGCCCATTCAGCCACACAGGGTCCAGAAGACTCCCACTTTGGTTAAATTCTCTGCTGTGATGTCTTAAAATGCTTAATAATTTTAACAAAAAGCTTTTCACTTTACTCTGGGCCTCACAAATTATGCAGCTGATTCTGGCTGGAAATTGTGTAATAGGTTAGGTAGGGGTTGGGCTCTGATAGATCGATGAAGAATTCACGTAAGACCAGGATAGATGAGTGTCAAGTGATGGCAAGGATGCAGGGCTGTTGAGGTTATAAATGAGAGGGCTAATGGACAGACGGGTTACTGAAGGATGCAGAAATGAAACCTCATCAGTGAGACTGAAGATCAAGTGTCCTATAATACGAGTGAGAGATGGAGGCTGTGAGATGTTAACACGGGGTCAATGAGAACACGGGGCAGTGGCAATGGGCTGAAGGACCTTGATCAAAGTGTCTGACAGCTGGTGATCATATGTTAGGGAATCGGGGTGTGACAGGTGGACAAGTTAGTGAGCGAGGTGACAATGAGTATGTCGATGAGACATTTTCAATAGCCTCTCTACGGCATCACCTGCAGTTCAGACTGTAGGGTGCAAGTCACGGTCTGGGAATTCGTGAAGGCGCAAGAAGTGGGACAGAGCCAAGGGTGAAAAGCGTGAGGGTGCAGATAGCGAGGGTGCTGGTGAGGGAGGACCAGAATGTAACAAAGGATGAGTTCCAGTAAGAGAGAGATGACAGGCAGAGGTCGAAGCAGAGAAGCAACAGAGGGGCGCTGACTCCTAACCTCCGACATCCTGACGCTCTTTGAAGGCGGCCTCAAAGGCTGCCGTGGAGATCAGAAAACTGGGCTGGAGTCTGGAGAAGGGGCTGTGCACTGCCCCCAGTGTCTAAAAGGGCGACACGTTTTTTTTTCTGATCGCCGGCCCGGCGCCGACACCCGGCGCTCGGCGCGTCTTCGGTCACCTGGCAACCGCCACGCCCCCTGCCGCTTGAAGCCTGGCAGACGTTCGAAGGGGGCGGAGCGCCGTAGGTCGGTACCTGGGTAGTGGGCTGCAGAGAAATTTGCAAATATATCCTGAAGGGGGTAAAGGGGTGAATCCAAGGAAATCTAGGGTCAGTGCCTCTGAGAGGCTGAGTGGAGTCTGCAGACCCGAGAAAAAGAGGCCTATGTGCACTTTGAATACGAAAAGTTGGGATTACCAGTCTTGTTAGTGAAATGTGGGGGTTTTTTTTCTTTCTTTTTTAACGCTAGCCATATTCCTGACCCTCAAACTCAGCCCCAAGGGTCGTTCAATAAGTACTCTTGTGCTCAGATATGTATTTTTTAATCAATAACATTTTCTCGGTGTGTTTTTAAATTTAATATGCTCTTGAACACTAGAAATCGTCTTATGTTCTCTCTCTCTCTCTCTCTCTCTCTCTCTCTCTCTCTCT